CCCCCCCCCCCCCCCAACACCGCCCCCAACTCATGCGGCCTCCGGGCCGGCAGGGGGCGCTGTGCCCGCGTCCTCCGGGCCCGCTTTGGGTACGTGCGTCCGAGTCCTCCGGGCCGGCAGGGGGCGCTGTGTCCGCGTCCTCCGGGCCCGCTTTGGGTACGCGCGTCCGAGTCCTCCGGGCCGGCAGGGGGCGCTGTGGCGCGGCCGCCATGGGCGCCGCCGTGTTCTTCGGGTGCGCCGCCATCGCGTTCGGCCCCGCGGCCGCGCTCGTGCTGCTCACGGTGGCGGCCGAGCCGCTGCGGGTCATCGTCCTGGTGGCGGGGTGAGCGGAGGGGGGCCGAGGGGGGCTTGGGGGACGCTGAGGAGGGGCCGGAGAGGGGATATGGAGGGCTTTTGGGGGGAGGTCTGAGGGGCCTGGAGGGCCGTTGGAGGGATGCTGAGGGGCTTGGGGGGGGTTGCTGAGGAGCCTTTGGGGGGTGTGAGGGTCTCGGCGGGGCCTGAGGGGCCGTTGAGGGGTCCCGAGGGCCACCGGCGGGTGTTGAGGGGCGTTGGGAGGGGCTGAGGAGCCTTTGGGGGGTTCTGAGGGGACATTGGGGGACACTGGGGTGCTGGTGGCGTCGGGCGGGCGGCTGAGGGGGGGCTGTGAGGCAGCACTGAGAGGGACGGTGAGGAGGCAGTTCGGGGGCAATCTGAGGGCTCAGAGAGCGCCGAGGTCTCATTTCTGTGCAGCTGCGGAGGGTGTGTCCCAGCCCGGCTGTACCGAGGGCAGCTCCGCCTGATCCCGGTGCCCGTGTCCCCTGTCCCCCGCCTTCCCCCAGGGCGTTTTTCTGGCTGCTGTCTCTGCTCGCCGCCTCGCTGCTCTGGGCCGTGTCGGTGCAGCTCAGCGGGCGGGAGGACGCGGCGCTGCTGCTGCCCGGGGCCGCCGCCGCCGTCCTGCTGCAGGAGCTCTGCCGCTTCGCCTGCTTCAAACTGCTCAAGTGAGAGCCCTCCCGGGGGCCGGGGGGAGCTCTGCCGGGGTCCCGGGGGAGCCAGAACAGTGCTGGTTTGGGGGCTCTGTGTCCAGGGGAGGGAAGGGGCTGTGTTTGCTCTCCCTGCCCCGTGGGATGGGGCTCACTCTCTCTCCCGGCGGGGCAGGAAGGCGGATGAGGGGCTGGCGACGCTGAGCGAGGATGGGCGGTCCCCGATCTCCCTGCGGCAAATGGCCTACGGTGAGCGGCCCTGCGGGCTCCGGGGCGGAGCTGACACGGCTTTCCCGGCTTTCCCAGCTCTCCCCGGGGGCTGTGGAGAGCACGGGTGGGCTCCCCTGACCTCCGGCTCCCCCCGCAGTGTCCGGGCTCTCCTTTGGCATCATCAGCGGCGTCTTCTCCATCGTCAACACCCTGGTGGACTCGGCGGGGCCGGGCACGGTGGGGATCCATGGGGACTCCCCGTACTACTTCATCACCTCTGGTGAGCCCAGGGCACCAGGAGGAGGAGGAGGAGGAGGAAGGCTGTGGGTCTGAGGCCCCGTGGTTCTCCCCACAGCCTTCCTCACCATGGCCCTGGTGCTGCTCCACACCTTCTGGGGCGTCATCTTCTTCGACGCCTGCGAGCGGCGCCGCGCCGGGGGCCTGGGGCTGGTGGTGGGCGGCCACCTGCTCGTCTCGGGGCTGGTGAGTCCTCTGGAGGGGGCACCGGGACCCCCTCACTCCCTGCTGGGGCTGTGGGGTGAGTTACACCCCCCCTGAGCACCCCCAGCCCCTGGGGGGAGGAGGTTGGTGCAGGATTTAGGGGCACACACGGGGGATGATCTGCTGGGCTCTGGTGGGGGGGATGTGGCTCAGCAGGGCTCCAGGCTGGGTTTCTGCAGGACCTGGCACCCCATTCCCTGCTGTGGCTGTTTGGGGGGGCTGGGGGAGCTGGTGGGGGGTGTGACCTGTCTCTGTCTGCATCCCCCAGACCTTCCTGAACCCCTGGTACGAGGCCAGCCTGGGGCCCATCCTCATCCTCACGCTCTGCACCGGCCTCTGGGCCTTCGGCACCGCCGGCGGCTCCTTCCACAACATCCTCAAGTGCCTCTCCTGTAAGGGGGGCCTGGGGGAGTGGGGGGCACTTTGGGGGGGTGCTCTGACCCCTTTTGGGGGTTGGGGGGCCCAGAGCCACCAGGGGTGGGGGTGGATGAGTCTCACTGAAGTGGGGCTGTGTTCCCGGGGGCTTCCACAAACCCCTAAACTGCCCCCACCCCCAGAACTCGCCCCACACTCACCCCCTTTACCCCCCCAGGTAAGCAGGAGCCCGAGGGCCGGGTCATGCTCTACTCAGCGCTGCAGGTGCCCCCTGAGGAGTGAGCAGAGCCTTGGCCCCACAGCTGGACACTCCACCACTGCCTTCACCCCTGTCTGCCCCAGGGTTTGGGATCTGACTGGTTCTCCTGGGGGGTTTGGGGTCTGACCGGTGCTTCTGGGGTTTTTGGGTCTGACCAGTGTTCCCAGGGGTGTTTTGGGCTCTGACCAGTGTTCCCAGGGGTGTCTTGGGGTCTGACCAGTGCTCCCAGGGTGTTTGGGGTCTGACCATGGCCCCGTTCCCTTTGTTCCCAGACTCTGTTACACTTTTCCCTCAAGTTGTGCCTGTGGGGAAGGTGGAAAGGGGTTCTGAGTACCCTGAGGGGCATCCAGGCTTGGGGGTCTCAGGGCAGGGCAGAAACCCCTCTTCCCTTGTGTTTCCCTTCCCTGGTGGGATCTTTGCCCCTGGTGCTCTGGGGGTGGGGGGCTCGGGGCCATGGGTGCTGTGCCCCCCTCACCCCTGTTCGGCTCCCAGGGGGGTCTGGGGTGCAGTGGGGGGGTAAATTATTTTTTTGATTCAGAGTAAAACCCTTTTCTAAGAACGCTGTGGCTGCTGAGGGGAAGGGGAGGAGGGGAGAGGGTCACTCCCATCTTGCTCTGCTCCCACCCTGGGTGGCACCGGGGGGGTCCTGGTTTCTGGAGGGGGGGGCGTGACAGGATCCAGCCCCGAAGCCTCTTGAAGGTCCCATTCCCACCCCACAAAGAGTCACCAGCACTGGAATGGGGGGTAAAAGGGGCTTTATTTGAGCCCCCACTGGGTCCTTGGGGGAAGCTGGGGAGCGGTGAGGGGTCTCTCAGGGGGGTCCTCGTGGGGGGGTCAGCGGGAGGTGCCGCTGTCCCCGGGGGAGCGGCGGGAGGAGGCCTTGAACACGACGTCCTGTGCCTGCGCCCGCCTCGAGCTGCTCGGGGGAGAGACGGATGAGGGGGACCCTTCCTGAGGCTCTGGGGGTCCAGCCCCGGGGGTCCAGGCTCCCCTGCAGCCAGGGGAGGGTCCCTCTGAGGGGTGGAGGGTGTGTGGGGGGGTCTCACCGCATCCGCTTGGCCCCGAAGTGCACGGCGAGGAAGAGGCCGACGCAGCCGGCGACGGCGCCGAAGACGATGGCGATGACTTCACCTGTGCCACAACGGGGGGCTCAGGGGGGCCCGGGGAGACCCCCCCACACTCCCCATCCCAGCCCCCTCGGGCCGGCTGTACCTGTGGAATATCCCTCGGGCTCTGCAAGGGAAGGGCAGGGTCAGAGCTGGCACCTCGTGCCCGGCCGGGGCTCCAGGAGCCGTTTGAGGGGTGTTTGGGGGGGACCCTTCCCACCCCTCGCCCCCCAGCTCACCCCTGGGGAAGGACACGAGCACCGGCCGCTGGTTCAGCTCCTGCGGGGCCCGGAAATTGTCCACCAGGAGCTGCGGCTCCGCCTTGGCCTCTTCCGTCGAGTAAAGGCTTCCCTGGAGCTGCTCCAGCTGGAACGGGGAAGGGGGAGTGCTGGGGAGTGTCCCCTGGACCCGGGGGTGTGTCCCCCCCCAAAGCTGGTCCTACCTGGTCCCGGCTGATGTGGACAGGCTCCGGGAAGAGGGTCCAGAGGACGCTCTGGAAGCAGGGGGGGGTGGTCAGGGACCCGTTGTACCGGTAGTAGCGGTCGAGGCGCGGGGGCAGCAGGTCCTGGACGCTGAAGGAGGGGATGGACGTCGACTGCCCTGGGGGGTGGGGTGGGAGCAGTTGAGGGGCGCAGGGAGGGGGGATTTGGGGTCCCTGCTCGCTGTTCCCCCCTCACTCCCCTCACCTGCGTAGCGGATGCTCCCGAGGTGCCTCAGGATGTTGTCGTAGGCGGGGTGGGGGTCGGCACCCACCTGGGGGATTGAGGGGGGTGTCAGTGCGGGTCTGGGGGCTCAGGGGGGTGGGTTTGGGGTCCGTACCTCCAGCAGGACGCCGAGCACGGCCAGCCCGCCCGCGTGGTGCTGAGCCTCGCCCGCGTCGGAGAAACGCTGCGCGTCGAAGTGCACCACGTGCATCTGCGGGACCCCCGACAGCCCCCCTGGGCCCCCCCGCCCTGCTCCCCGCCCCCCCCCTGCCCCCCCCCCCAATCCCACACCGCTGCACCTCCCACAGTGCCCAGACCCACTGCCCGTGCCCAGAGCGATTCCCGTTTCCCACCCGTTTCTCCTTCCTGCACCCCGTCCCCTCCCTGCACTCATTTCCCATCCCTGGATCCATTTTCTTGCCCATTCCCGCACCAGGACCCCACTTCCATTCCCTGCACCACATTCCTGCCTGCAGACCCCTGCACCACACAGTCCCCGTGCCGTTTTCCCCCCCCGAGACCCCTTCCCACACCCATTTCCCACCCCCAGACCCATTTCCCACACAACTCCCACGCCATTCCCCTCAGCCACCCCTCTTCCCATCCTCCTTCTTCCACCCCCAAACCCATTTCCCACCCCATTCCCGTGCCATTTCCCACCCCCACACCAACCTCCTGAGCCATTTCCCTCCCCGTGCCCTCTCCCCCCAGTCCCCCCGTGCCCCCAATACCTCGGCAGGAGCCCGGTGCCCATCCAGCAGGTGCTCAGCGCCGGCGGCGTGGCCGGGCCGGCCCCAGTGGAAGTGGAGCTGGGCGGCAGCGAAGGCCCCGGGGAGCCCCTGGATCCGCAGGGAGGGCGGCAGGGCCAGCACGGCTGTGGGACAAGACACAGGTGTGGGGGGGTTCAGTGGGGCTGAGACACCCCCACGGACCCCCCCGCCCCCAGCACTCACCGGTGTGGCCGTTGTTGGCGAGGGTGAACCGGGGGGTCTCGGGGTGGTCGTAGCCCTGGGGCTGCAGCGGCGGCAGCGCCGGGTCCAGCCGTGCCCGGCCCGTGGCGATGTCGATGGGCGACTGTGCCCGGCCCCCACACGCCGGGTGCCCCTCGGGCCAGTGCTGCTGCCCGTGGGGGCCTGGGGGACACCCAGAGTGCGGGTGGGCCCCCCCCCAGCCTCAGCCAGCAGGGCCCCGTGACCCCCGGGCAGGGACACGGGTGACAATGCCCGGGGCCT